AAGATATAAAATAATGTTTCTGAATAGATACTTATATAATAAGTTTAAGAAGTAATGATAATAATAGCCACCATTTCATTTATTTAGCTCATACAATAAATAGTACTTACATAGGAACTTTATCTATGTTGTCTCATTTAATTCTCACAACAGGGCTTCCTTAGTATTTTATGTATGATATAATCAGTTACCCATCTAGGTTGTGACAGAACAGATTGAAACCCAAGTCTGTGCTCTTACTCACTACACCATTCAGCATGAATGGGAAAAAGAGTAAGTAAGGAGAAATACCAGGAGACAAAGCTGAAAAAGACCATAAAAGGTCTGTGTGTCTCAATAATTTTTTAGCTTTATCCTCTAGACAATGAGAAGTTAAAGATTTAATCCAATACTTCATATAAACTCTGAGGGTGGTACTAAAAAAATCGAGATGAAAAATATTTGAATGCTTGTTGCAAACCAAATAATTCATTCTTAAATTATTTTAACTCTTAAAACAACCATTGCTTAGAAGATAAACTTGAGACTTGCAAAGGCAAGGAGTCACACAGCTCAGAAGTGGTAGCATAGGGTTCAAACCTAAGCCTGACTCTGAAGCAACTGCCCTTTAAGGCATGCTCTGATCTTCTTAAAAGTCTATTGTCAGTGGAAAAGTAAACAAGACTAAGTATATGTTTGCCATTTGGACATTTCTTCTGAATTATAGTCCAAATTGAACTTCATCAGTTGTTGTCAAATGATTACCACTAAGTACACTTTTATACATATTATGGGATGAGTCTTGTATATGTATATATATATTTGAAAAAATTTTATTGGGGAACAGTGTGTTTTTCCAGGACCCATCAACTCCAAGTCAAGTAGTTGTCTTCAATCTAGTTGTGGAGGGTGCAGCTCCTTTGCCCATGTGGGAATTGAACCAGCAACCTTGGTGTTATGAGCCTGCACTCTAACCACCTGAGCTAACCGGCCACCCCTAATATAGATATTTTTAAAGTATAAAAATATTTTCCCCCAATATATACTTTACTTATTACTTTAAAATTTATATCTTTTATTGCACCACCAGGCATTATTGATTATCTACTGATATTCTAACAGCATTAGACTTAGTCTTACTCTATACAGTGAATATTATGGGATGAGTTGATTTTCTTCTTCACACATTAGAGGAAGACAATAGGAAAGTACAATCTTATTTGTCTTTTCAAGGGTAGAAAGAAGAGCATAACCTAGTTGCTTCTCTAGTTATTCTCTGCTACCTATGTGGTTACTGACAAAGAATTTTAACTGCTATTATTTTTATTTATTTAAAAAAAATTTGGGGGGGAATTGGGGAACGGGAACAGACAAGTTGCTGTTCTTTTGTTCTTCAGCCTAGTTCTGGAGGACACCACATCACTGGCCCATGTTGGTATTATCATTGTGCTCTTCCCGGGTGAGGCAGTTTGGTGGCCAGTGGTCACTGGACGGCCACTCACGGCAGCTCTTGGCAGCTCATGCCGGCTGCCGGCCATTCATGGTAGCTCAGGGCAGAACACTGCAGCAGGGGCTGCAGTCTACACCGTTACCAGCGACTCATGGCAGCCCAGCTCCAGGTTGAGCTGTTGTTCACCATCTTAGCTGTAGAGGGCGCAGTGTCAATGGCCCATGTGGGATACGAACCGGGGCCCTGCTGCTCAGAGCTGGCATTCCAAGCCAACTCCTAACCAACGTGCCACTCGGCCGGCCCTAACTGCTATTATTTGTAAAAGTTCAAGCAGACTAGGAGCATTTCAGTTTTTCTTGGAGTATTTCTGGGCAAATTGAAGATCCATCCCTGAAAAGTCTGAGTTTTTGCCCTCCTCAGCACGTTCACCCGTATGTTTGCAGGCCTAGGGCAAGAGTTCAAATAGAGGTGCACTTACCATAAATCTAAATATTTAAACATTATCAATCAAATTAACAAACTCTTGCATAATATATACTTTGGTACTTCCTTGACAAACATAATTTCACAATAACTTGGAAGACCAGGTTAGAATCCTTGGACTCCTTCATGTTGTGGTGGCCTTTTCTCTCCTTCAGTTTCTACACACAACTCCATCCTTCACTGCAGGGGCTTTGGGGTTAATTTTATCCTTACTTTAGACAAAACAAGACAAAACCAGCTGGCTTTGGGCACCTTTGGTCTTTGGTTTGCACACACCTGTGACAGTCTTCCCTTAGGAAGAGGGATGTAGGGAAAATACCAAGGTCCTGGAAGAGAGCTTGGGGGCATTTGGGAAGGGAAATCTGGGGTCCTGGGTTTCCAGAGTGTGGGCTAGGAGTAAGAACATGAACTCCAGAAGTGTCATACTGTATTTCTGGGTATACTCCTTGGCTCTGGGTGTGTGTGGCTGGAGGAAGATGAGTGGGGCCCTCTCAAGTGTGGGGTCCAGGGCATGGGCCAAATTTGTCCTGGCCAAGATTGGTTCTGCTTCTCAGTTTTACATGACCATGGTGAAAGCACAGTAGCTGTGGCCAATCACATTGTAGGAGCTTGCATGTGAAGGCCAAGGCAAAGTACAGTTAGTACTTCTTACCAAATATTAGTGTTTAACTAAGAAAATTTATGTTGATATAAAGTTTCTGAAACGATCCTTAGTAGGTGTTTGGAACTCCATCACACTTCCTTTGGCACTGGCTTTCCTTAACGCAGGGCTCACTCATTGAATTGTAAAATTGATATCACTGCCTCAATTATTCTACCATTTTTTACTCTTCCTTTTCTTCAGTTATATTGATAATTCAAGGGAGTGTAATTCTAGTCTGGACTCCAAATACTTGCTGTTTGACCTCCTCTTTTCTTTTAGGATATAGACTTGGTTTGCTGAATAAATCTACAGATTCATGGTTTTCTCTAGGCATAGAATTTAAAGGAAGAAAGCCTTCATTCTATTAAGTTCCAAGTTATATTTAACAGTCTGCAAAAAAAGACATGTAAATACAATTAGAGAAAGACATATTAAGAATTCTTTTTGATATAGTACTTCTTGAGAAATTTTACCATGCAGTCTAAAAATAAAAAAATATTTCCCCAATTTAATAATCATTTATTTCATAGAGAAAAATAAATTCCCATGAACTATGTTTCAAATATACTTTGAGGCAAGAATAATTAATGGTTTTTGGGGGGACAGGAAGTAACTTGAAAATAGTTTTAAAAAAAACATTGAAAATATTTGCTTATGCAGTGAAGGCTTTTCAAAAGTTATTTTTAAAGACTGAGGAATTAAGCACCTGTCATTTTTGCCAGCTGGTGTAGATGTTAAAAATTATTGTCACTCTTCCACCCGCTACTCTATTTTGCACCTGCTACTACTTGAGTTATGGGCATTTCACACATGGTAATTTAATAAGGTTAGGTACCATGACAGTGTACTAGATGTTATCCCACTGGGCATTAAAGCAGTTTTATAAGGTCTTGAGTAAAAAAGCATTAAATACGAAGCTTGAGACGAAAAATTTAGTACCTTGTAAGGTATCACATTTTTCTAATTGAAAAATGTTAAAAGAATGTAAAAGATGGGACAGTTAACCACATATTCCAAAACAAAAATGAGCCTTCTATGATTGGACTATTTGTACCAGTCAACTTCTTGACATGGTGACATTTGTAATTAAAAAAATAAACATGTTTATTGCTTTATGTAACAACCAAATATAAATCTATATTGAAACCTGTACTGTTCAATATGGTACTCAGGAGACTCCTGTGACTATTTAAATTGATTAAAATAAGCTACAATTTGAAATTCAATTCCACAGTCATAGTAGCCACATTTCAAGTGCACCATGGGACAAGTGGTTACCAAATGTAGAAACAGAGTTACATTTTTACTGAAAGTTCTCTTGGACAGTGCTGTGTGAAAGTTTGAAAGTTCCAGTTCCTGGTCTTAAGCGAACTTGGTCTTAAAGATCTTGAAGCCAGAGTGAATTTTCCTTAAAAGAGTGATTGTCATGTTCCAACATCATCTTGGCTACTAAAGCATAGGTCCTAGTTGAAGCTGTTGGCTGCTGGAATCTGAGTGACCTTTGCTGAAGTTAAAAGGAGCATGTTGACCTGAAGTGCCCACCATGAGGAAAAAGTTGTTTCAGCTTCCAAACATTTCTAGGCACGCAGGTACTTTTCAGAGACTTTACAACCCCATATATTACAGATATCTTTTCAGAGAGCAGGAGAATTATTATTCACTTCATCTCTTCTAAATATCCAACTATTAACTTGCAAATCCTGCCTCTGTTCTAAAGAAAAGTGATACATGATAGCATTATAATATGACACAGTAAGTTTACACTATGAACTTTCCTATCTATTAGTCTTCCCATTTAGGACATGTATTAAAAGATGGAAGCAAGATTTGGGGACATGGACATGCAAAGTAGAGGCCATCCTAGCAGCAGAGAGAATATTAACAGACATGTTCTTCAGTAACAATCTCATCCCCAGAGAGGTTTTTTAAAGTAACAACTGGAAGGTCACTTTAAATTTTGTCCTTGATGACATTCAGTGAGAAGAATCAGGGCTTATTAGAATTTCCTAATAGGCCAGGTAGTCACTAGACATGTAATAGATCCATGAATACAATGATTTACACAAAACTGAAGAAACTTGCTTTCATCTTAAATTGCCTAAGTAGTTTATATTAAAACATCTCTGATCCTCTGAATTTCCTCAGTTCTCTGTTTCAATTTTTCAGTAATATATGATTATCATTATTATTCAATGTGTTATTGCTATGTAGACTGTAATGATTTGTTCTTTTAAAAATTTATAACTTATCAGTATTCGATACATTAAGGAAAGGATTGAGGTTTTACAAATTATTTTCTCTAAGCAAGAAGATAAAAACACAATGAAACTTGAACATTCCAGACTGACCAAAATTATTTATTGATTTATAAATTTAAGGACATTCATTGACCCATGGTAGAAAATAAAGAGTGGTGATAGGTTTTGAGATTTTCAGTATTTTATCTTTGTCTAGAGTGAGACACTTGGCTTGTGTGGTACGAATACAATTCACAGAGAAACGTAAGGTATAAAACAAAATCAGGGAGTCCCTCAGTCTAGAACGGTCCATACTGTTTTTCTAAATGATGGTGAACAGATCTGGACAGGCAGTCATGGGTGTTATTAAAATAAGTTTCCAGCCAGTCTTCCCAACCAATGCTTAACCTGTAAAGGAAAAGAGAAAATGAGTTAGATCTTGATTGCATGTTTTCAGAAAGAAAACTGGGGAGGAAATAATGTGAAATGCAAACTACAAAAAAGCACAAAATGAACCAGCACTTCCAAGGCAAGCCTTTTCCTGGTTGTAAGAACCTGGCTGCAAGTGCTTGACTTTGGATGGTGATAGCATGGTTTTCTAGAGCAGTAATTCTTAAAAACTACATGAGTTATTCAAAGAACTTTGACCCATGCTTTTATGAATGTTATGTTCCAACTAAAGTAATTAACTCGTCTCTGGCTGGTTGAATCTCCACTGCAAGTACTTATAGCACAGTCAATAGTCAATGACAGAGTTTATAGATGGAAGCAAAAGCCTCTTTTGCTGATACTCTTATACAAAAATGCTCTATTTCTAAATAACCCATTTCAAGGAGTCGATGTTTTCTGATTAATATAAATCATTCTTTTTTTAAAAAAAGATTTTATTGGGGAGTTGGGGAAGGGGAACAGCCAAGCTGTTGTCCTTCAATCTTAGTTGTGGTGGGCGCAGCTAGCTCAGCTCCAAGTCCAGTCATGCCACTCAGCTCAAGGTGCTGTGTTCAATTAGTTGCAGGTGGGCATAGCCACCATCCCATGTGGGAGTCGAACCAGCAGCCCTGTTGTTAAGCTCTATCCCCTGAGCCATCCGGGTGGGAGCTCAGCTCAAGGTGCCTAGTTCAGTCTTAGTTGTGGGCAGGCATAGCCCACCATTCGAGCAGGCAACCTTGTTGTTTGGAGCACGTGCTCTCACTAACTAAGCCATCCTGCCACCTGTTGGCAGCTTAGCGGCAGCTCAGCTCAGGTGCAGCTCACTGGCCCATGTGGGAATCGGAACTGGCGACCCTATTGCCCAGAGCTCATGCTCTTAAGCTAACTCTTAAACAACTGAGCTACTTGGCCGGCCTTAAATCATTCTTAATTAACAGCTTAATACTAATTATATCTACAGCATATACATATAAAGTGAAGCCATTAAAGTTTTAAAAGACATGATATCAAGAAAGTCTTAATAGTAAAAAGGAAACAGATGTATACCTTGAGAGCTCCATTTAGACAGACATGATGTGCTTGACAAAAGCTGTAGGCACAATACAGACAGTTTAGAGTTAGAAAACATTCAAATTTAATAAGAGGGGTTTTGCAAGTTACCGCAATCCTAATTATCCTTATCTATAACACTAAAGTTTATTTTGTTAAGCCTTGTACAGACCACTATAATTATTATTTGATTTATGGCCTTTCCCCTGATTTTTTTTAAAGAAATTTTATTGGGGAGCAGTGTGTTTTTCCAGGACCCATCAGCTCCAAGTCAAGTAGTTGTCTTCAATCTAGTTGTGGAGGGCGCATCTCCTTGGCCCATGTGGGAATTGAACCAGCAAACTTGGTGTTATGAGCTTGCGCTGTAACCACCTGAGCTAACTGGCCACCCCTCCCCTGATTTTATAAACTTAATTTTTCAATAAGTGGTACATTCACATGGTTAAAGTTTTGTTTTTTAAAGTATGAAAGAGTTGATAACAACAATGAAAAATGTTTCTCACCACTGTCTCCCAGCTATCTAGTTCCTCTTTTTATAGCTAAGTTCATGGAGCTATTTTTCATGTGTAAGATAATACAAATATACCTATGTTCCTAAAAAAAAATTTTTTTTAGGATGGTGGCATACTGTACAAATTCTTTTACACTTACTTTTCTCACTTAATAACATATTTTGGAGATAGTACCATAACTGTAAACAAGAGTGTCATTATTTTTTATGGCCATATTGTATTTCATTGTATAGATTTACCCAAATCTATTTGTTATATCCTGCATTGATGGGCATTAAGTTGTTCAAATATTTGGCCATTACAAACAACGCTGCTAATGAATAATGATGTATCACTCATTTCATCTGAGTGCACATATATCTAAAGATTATATCTTGAAGTAGATTTGCTAGAATTAGTAGTACCACATCATCACATATGGATCTAAATGATTTACATTCCCAAGAGGAAGGCATGATACCAGCTTTTCCCACTCACACTCCTCAACCCAAAATATGGTCTAACTTTTAACCTTTGGCAATCAGTTTACTTAAAAATGGTATCTCAGTGTAGTGTTCATCTATATTTCTTTTATTGTTTATTAATTAAATTTAGCATACTCATATGTATTCATATGTATATTTATTTCCTTTTTATGAATTGTCTCTTCATGTATTTGTTAATTTCTCTATTGGGTTGCGGTCTTTTTATTAATTTGTAATAGTGCTTTTTTTTAATTAGTAAAATGAGCTCTTTCTGATATTGATTGTAATTGTTTGTTTGTTTTGTATTGTTTTGTTTTTGGTTTGCTATTTGTCTTTGACTTTGCTTCAGGTGACTTTGCCATAGCGGTTGAAAAAAATGTTTGGTTGAATTTATCAAAATTTGAAATGCCTTCTGGGTTTTGTATCAGTGATAGAAAGGCCTTCCCATTTCAAATGTTATAAAATAATTCTTCCATGGCTTTTATGCTTTCTGCTTTTACATTTAAATTTTTGACCCACTTGCAATTTATCATGGTATAAGATCCAGATCTGACTTAATTTTCTACATGACTATCCAGTTGTCCAAACAATATTTATTGAATGATTCTTCTTTTATGTAATGTATTTGTGGCAATAACCAAATGTGAAACACTGTTTATGGGGAAAAAAGAGAAGTTTAATCAAGATTGTCAGTGAACGTATGCTTGGCTGGGTCTGTTCCTTTTCTCCTGTCCTCTCCTCTCTTTCTTTCTCTCCTCTTTCCTTCATTCCCTTCTTCTCCTCTCTGCTTTTCTCTTCTCACTTTTATCCAAGTCATTAGACTTCCTATGTCTACACTTACATTAAACCTATCAGCATAGCTTTATTGAAATGTAGCTAGATTCATCTTTTTGGGAAATAGATAAGTTTCTTAATTTTACTGGAAACTTTTCGATTTACAAATTATATTATGCAACTTTATTTTGCATCTTTATTTTGTGTGATGCATTGCTTCTCAGATCCTCTGGGTGAAGCTGTTGTAAATTGGTAGCAGGAACTAGATAATTGGTCACTATGAGGTGACTTTCATTTAAGCAAGAACACTAGACAAGGAGAACTAAATTTTACCACCAGCCTTACCATTAATGATGTGACCTTCACTGATAACTAAACCTCTTTGGCCCTCAGTTTCTTCATTTTCATAATTGCTTGATGTAAAGAATTCTGAGTTCTCTCCAACTTTAAATTCTATTAAATTTTATTTTGACACAACCCTGTCTATCTTACAGAGACGTTATGAAGATTTAACAAGAAAAAGTACATGTAAAAACACATTTTAAGCTGTATAACAATACATAGGAATGCAAAACCCACTGGGATGAATCTTATATATGTATAATCAGACCTTCACAAGATATCTTTTTAGAGTTTTTGTATAATTGGTTGATAATAAGTAAATGTGTATGTTCAATAAGGGAGGCAGAGAAAAAGAGGTTATTTTAAGCTCAAAAGGAGTCCATAATCAACCCAATCAGTTAAGAGTTGCTATAACTACCAGAGCACATGAGTTTGTACCTTCATAGTTGATGCAGCCATTGGAGTCTTCTTGACCTTTCAGCAGGGTTTCCACTTCTTCCTCTTTCATCTTTTCACCTAATAAAGCAAATCTCTTTGTTCAGAAAGAAGTCCAGAGGGTATTTTCAAAATTCCACTATAAGTGACCAGTTTTGGGTTCCTGAAGACTATGACTAAGCTCTTGCAGGATAAGGAACCAAGCCCTTCCTATTCCTTTGGCACTTAGTAGATTGTCAAGAAATTTCTTTTGAATGAATTAAATGTACATTATACCCAATCATCCAAATTACATGCTATAAGAACTACAATGCTTTACTTTACTTATTCATTACCAGTAATTTTAATTACCACTTCCCCGAAACAAACTCATTGACACTGAGGCCAATTGAAATGGTCATTAACTTTTGACTATTCTTTTTCATTTTCCTTTGTAGTCTTTCCCCCATGCCTATTTTGGTTATAGCATGATTCCTATAAGTCATGCTCTTTCCTGTATATTTTGTCCTATTAAGTCCACTGAAATAAACTGTCCTTACCCAGTGTGGCCAGCACGTGACGGAGTTCAGCACCCATGACTGTGCCATTGCCTTCCTTGTCAAAGACACGCAGACCCTCAACAAAGTCTTCATAACTGCCCTGGTCCTTGTTGTTGGAAATAACTTGCATCATGGGCAGAAATTGTTCAAACTCAATCTTCTTGGCATTCATCTCTAGAAGAAACGGCAATGTAGGGAGTTATTAGCTACCATAAAATGCCATCTGTGAGTCTCTAAAGTTCATTCTAGATGACCTGAAAAATATTCATACAGCTTAAATTTCAGTTGGCAAATTGCTGGTGACAAAAATTTGGTAATAGGTAACAGCATAAACTCTGGAGTCCGATTGCTTGAACTTTTATCCCCAAACTGCCATTTACAACTATGTGACTATGGGCAAGTTTCTTAACCAATTTGTCCCTCAGTTTTTTTTTCATTGTAACATAGAGCTACATCATAGTATTAGTGTGAGAATTAAATAAGATAATGCAAGCCAAGTTTATTACAATACTTGGGACAACTGAGTATGTAATAAGTGTTAGCTACTATTAGTATTGTCAATTTAATATTTTCTATAAATACTAGGGAGTCAATATAAAATCCATTAACACATAAGTATAGTAAAACTTAACTGTAATATAGTTCAGCTTTTGTAGGACCTTCAGTTTCTTTCAATTTTAAGTAATTAAAAAAAGATGCTTATGAGGAGAGAATGTGTGTCAAATGCTTTGTGATGGCCTGATTTGTTTGCAGTTTAGAGGCCTGTAGATGATAGGACTCTCTTTAGTATCTTCTGACAAGGAAAATCATATTCACAGTAAAAGTATAAAAGGCTATCTAGATGTGTGCAAGTAGGTAAAGTTATGTACCCCTAAAATCCACATTCCCTTTTATTAGTCTTTCCTCATAGAACAGAAATCTAGTACATTGGATAGTAGTAAAAAGATTCAATTGGAGGGTCGGCCGAGTGGCGCGTTGGTTAGGAGTTGGTTTGGGACACCAGCTCTGAGCAGCAGGGCCCCAGTTCGGATCCCACATGAGGGCCAATGATGCTGCACCCTCTACAGCTAAGATGGTGAACAGCAGCTCAACCTGGAGCTGGGCTGCCATGAGTCGCCGGCTACAGCGTAGGCTGCAGTGGGGCTGGCCGGCAGCTGGCATGTGCTTTCGTGAGCTGCTGTGAGCCACCATGAGCAGTCATCCAATGGCCAGCGAGTGACTGCCTCACCCAGGAAGAACGCAATGATAATACCAATATGGGCCAGTGAAGCAACGTCCTCCACAACTAGACTGAAGAACAAAAGGACAGCAACTTGTCTGTTCCCCTTCCCCAATTCCCCAGCACTGTTCCCCTCCCCCAATTCCCCAATAAAAAAAAACACCTTTATTTATTTATTTATTAATTAAAAAAATTTTTTTTAAGCTGACCCATCCTGCCACCTGTTGGCAGCTCAGCGGCTGCTCAGCTTGGGCCCGGTATTGAACCGCTGTTGCTCAGAGCTCAAACTCTTGAGTGAGCTCTTAACCAAAAAAAATCTTAAAAAAAAAAAAGATTCAATTGGAATGCTGAATAAATGAACATTTACCTAATAATTCCAATAAAGATGAATGTTGATAAGTTAGAAAATGTCACTTAAGAAAGTAGATTTGGTTGCTGCTCTCTCACTATATCTCAGGTTCTCAGGTACTATTTGGGTAATTTACGTGGAAATTTTCCTCCAAACAAAATGAAATTTGAGGAAAATTCCAGCAGACTTATTTAGAGTTAGGTTTTCTTGAAATTTTTTCTGTTGTGACAAAGGAAAATAGTTATTTCAGTTATCAAGGAAGAAAAGATTATTTGCTCTCCCTTCCATTTTTTCTATGGCAAAGATAAACAGCCCACATATCTACTTGAAGAAAACTTCAGTTTGTCGTGTCTTTTTGTTTAGGGTGGTATTTTTCCAATAGACTATTATATTTTGCATGAACCTTTGGATTAAAAAAATTTTTTTCCTTGTTCCAGGCTAACAACTGGATTTCTGTATTGAGCAAATAATTTCTGCAGTTTTACCACTTTTGTGTCTTACTTGCTTTTGTCCCAGGATTTATCTTGGGCGACTGAAGGCAGGTTTTGGCTTAGATTTTTAAGTCTTTGGAAATAAAAAAAATACTCTCATTAAGATGTCATCCTGTCTATTCTTAATTAAGATAGTCGAGTTTCCTTTAAGGTGGTCATAGAAACAGGGCGTCAAAAAGACAAACCATGGGGCACAGTCAGCAGGTATTTTCAATCTCCTGAGAACATTGTGATTTCATTTGTACAGCTTTTATCAGAATAGATCTTGTCTGTGCCATTCTCCCTTTTTTTTTGTTAAAGATTTTATTGGGGAATTGGGGGAAGGAACAGCACTGGGAATCAGGGAAGGGGAACAGACAAGTTGCTGTACTTTTGTTCTTCAGTCTAGTAGTGGAGGATGTCGTTTCGCTGGCTCATGTTGGTATTGTGATCATTGCACTCTTCCCAGCTGAGGCAGATCGGTCCCCGGCCATTGGACGGCCACTCATGGCAGTTCATGGCAGCCCATTGCAGCCCCACTGCAGCCTGCTTCGTCGCCGGCGACTCACGGCAGCCCAGCTTCAGGTCAAGCTGTTGTTCACCATCTTAGCTGTAGAGGGCAGTGTCACTGGCCCATGTGGGATACAAACCGGGGCCCTGCTGCTCAGAGCTGGCATCCCAAGCCAACTCTTAACCAATGAGCCACTCGGCTGGCCCAAGTGCCATTTTCATTTACTCAGAGTTGTTTGCAAAAGTGCATTATGTTTTAGCTGTATTTAACATCTTTGTCAAAACATGTTTTTGCCTTTGAAGGTTTGAAAAAATGTGTAGATTTAGACATTATTTCATGTTGTTAACCTTTAAATTATGAGCATTAGATAGGATAATGATGATGATGATGATGATGGTGTTAGCATTAGATATTATTTCCTTTCATTAGCATGAAATTGTAACATGCTTGCAAATTCTCAAAGGAAGGTTAACTTACTTTAGGAAGGGAAAAAACTGAGACTCTAGACAGCCAAATGGCACACTTACTATCAAAATCAAATTAAGCCCTATTTTGTGGATCTTATTTATCAATAAAGCGTTCTTATTTTCTCTTACACACACACACACACACACACACACACACACACACACATTTCCCAGTTTCTTGGAAAAACCTGCGGTTACCTTCATTGCTGGGATTTCCCAGAACCTTCTTGACCTCTGCGTTGGTAGGGTTGGTGCCCAGGGCCCGAAGAACATCACCCACCTGGCTTAAGGTGATCTTGCTTTCACCTGTTCTGTCAAACAGGAGAAACGCCTCCTTGAAATCTGCAAGAAGCAAAAAACATTAGGGCACTTTTTTCTACCTCAGACCTATCAAGTAACCCTAACTTCATCAAAGGTCCTGTTCAAATCCTCCTCTCATTGACAACTTTTGCCAGCCACTAAGTTTGTGATTGTTGGACACTCCCTTTTCCTAGTTCAATCATTGATAAACACTTTTGACATTTCTTTTGGAGACTATTTTAAAGCAGCATTTCCAGTTTCAAGTCACGTGTTATTATTAGTCAGATATGAAAATTGGAGCTCCTAGTCATATTTATTCATATTTTCTACATCTGCCTGGGAAGCAGGACTGGGTAAAGAAATTTTGAGGCCTTGAGAAATCTTAAGAATTCCTTATATAATCTCTCATATAATTAACAAAGTTAACAGAATTCCAAGAAAACAAATTTTTCAATTTGGGTTGAGTTTTGTGAGGTTAACTCAAACTTCTCAAAGTATATAGAAAAACCTCCTCTTGCGATACAAATTTCCTACATACTCCCCTTAACTATTTTTCTACAAGAGTAACTTCATTTTTCAGGAAAAAAATCAGAAAGGTGAGACAAATCTTTAAGTTCTCATAGTGTCATTTAACCACTCTAATAAGCCCCTAATATAATCAATTCAGAAGGAGGAATGTTTGTTTAGGTCTATTGCTATGGTAATCTCTTTAAACTTTACTTTTTTTTTTCAGAGAATACACATGGCAACATGTTGCTATACTAGCTTCAGAATTTAAGTACATATTTTCTAATTTAAATTTTATAGAGATAATTGTAGATTCACATACAATTTTGAGAAAAAATACATAGGTGTCTCTTAAATACTCTGTCTAGTTTCCCACAATAGTAACATTTAGCAAAATTATAGTATACTGTGATGACTGGGATATTCACATTGATAGACTTCACCAATTTCACTCAGATTTCCTTTGTTTTACTTGTATTCGTGTGTGTGTATAAGTACATATTTAAAAAGTGTTGTCTATTTTTATCACAATCACTCTATTGCTTACTTTCCCCGAAATTTGTCATTCCCCTTTGATAGAACTGATTTTTTCTTTCAGAATTACATTAACAAAGAATTAAGAAATTGTACACCAAAAAGACAGAAAGGAGTGCTTCTATGGATTAGGGACCAGTAAAGACATTTTAATTGAACCTTCTAAACTAAACTAAAACTAAACTAAACTAAACTAAACTAAATGAAATGAAATTTTCTAGGGCACCCAAAACTATGGATGTCAACTTGTTGGGGTTAATGCTAACAACACTCAAAAAACCATTTATGACTGACCTGGTAGAGGTGAAAGCATTATGTTTTAGGCCATTGGTGGTCTCAGATCAAAAGATGCCTTCTATATAGATTACTCAGCAAAACACCCTATTTTACTGTCCCCTCATCCACTAATCTAAGATTGCACCAGACAGTCACAATCTAGTATTGTGATCGTGTTACCATTCTTTGCTAACACTTCTTCTTCAAATTCTATGCAATTTGACTGTAAAACACCATTTCCCTAATGGAAAACCATGCTGCAGGCACTGTGGGGTCATTAGTCAAATGTTCTTTTTCATCTTTCTCAGGGACATGTGAAACTGAACTATTCCTGTTACTGGCTCCAGGCTTTCATGCACAGCTTGCTCAGAGGGCTCACTATTACCCTGCTCAAATGCTTGATATAGAAATAGGATTTTATGGGCTGTAATAGAATCTTCCTGACATTAGCCCTTTTGTTTGTTTAAAGGCCAAGGCCAGAAAGATACTGCTGTTTCTACCTCAGATTTTTAAGGATTAAATTTTTCTCTGGAAGAGTCTAGAACATAGGTTAACAAACTCCTGACTAGGGGCTGGCCACCTGTTTTTATAAATGAAATTTGACTGGAATAGAGCCCTTCATTTATGTATTGTCTGTGGCTGTTTTCATCCCTCAGTGACAGAGTTGACTTGTTTTTACTGAGACTGTACAGCCAATGAAACCTAACATATTTATTGTTTGCCCCTTTAAGAAAAAATTTGCCAGTCCCTGGTCTAGAACAACACTGTTCTAGAACTTTTTTTGATTGAAATGTTCTATATCTGGTATCTGGGCTGTCCCAAAATATAGTTACTAGCCACCTGCAGTTCTTGAGCACTAAAAGGTAACTAGTACAACTGAGGAAATGTATTTTTAAATGTATTTATTTTTAACTAATTAAAGTTTAAATTTAAATAGCTGCTTGTGGCTAGTGCAACTCTACTGGACAGCATAGGAGAGCTTAGACCGTTAGAACGCTATAATTTTCTAGTTGTTTTTTCTTCTTTCCCCTAAACCAGTGATGCATTCAAAGACAGAAATTTTGAGCAAAACTACTTGATCATTAAACAAGGAAGTAACAAAGGACATCTTCATTCATTTCTGACAGTATAGGATTTCCATTTCACTTAAAATGCTACCAATAAACATTCATTTTCCTGGCACAAGAGAAAACCAGTCCACCACACCAATGTGTACTGAACCCCTATATAGAAAACCTATGCATATATGGAGTACTAGGTTTAATAATAATAGTTCAATAGGTTGAATAGTTTAGGTCTGTTCCTGCCAAGGCTTTTAAATCTTTTATTGTTTGATCCTACCATAGTTGGGCTGTCAAAATGACACTGTAAAGTAGATATTTGAGAGAGCTAGGATGCAATAGCTGATAATGTAGCAGCATCACTAGTTAAACATGCATTAAAAATAAAAAAAATTATAGTAGAATTACCATTTTCAATAAGAAAAAATAGTCATTTGTGGTATAATTTTATATAACATTGAGTTCTGAGTCATCAAATAATCTACTCTATCTAGATGAGGCCCTCAACCATTATGTGGATACCTGTGAGTCTGTACCACATCAGATATCCTTTATTTTTAATTGATGTTTGAACATGAGGTATTCCAGAAGCAAACTGAGAAATGTGGAATTCTTTAGGTGGAGAACTGAATATTTGAATAGATCCTTATTAATCACCTATAATTATATATTATAGATCATAACATGTATAATATACACATATTATGATGAATATTCTACTTATATGATATCATATAACTAATTTTTTCTCCCCCTCCCTTCTATAGATGTATTTATATCTCAGTTTATTTGAATATGTGGCACTTTCATTCCACAAAACATGCCTTGGTACACTTCCAGTGAAAAAAACAAGATCTTGTACGACACAAGATTCTTGGATTCTAAGACCAGAAGGGGAAAAAGTGGAAGTGTTTGGAAAACTATTCAGAGTTGCTTGAATCTTAAAAGTTTGAAGTCTTTTAGTTAGTAACTATTTTATGAAAGACGCTTTTCTTTCTTTCTTTCTTTTTTTCTTTCCTTTTTTCTTTCTTTCTTTTTTTCTTTCTTTTTTATTGTTTTTATTTTATGAAAGACATTTCTAATTAATTTAAACTAACACCAGATTTTGATCCTATTGCAAATTCTTTGGATCCTTGAGGAAGTCTCATCCCCTCCCTGGGAGCCTGTCCTGCATTTCTAAAGATGGACCAGGAGACACCTATTGTTTCCTCCACAGTTTTATGATAAATTACTCCTCCCTCTTTACCTCTGAATTCACTTTTATTCTGTATCCACTTTACCCACTATTTCTCTCGAGTCATTATGATGACCATTGAGATTATGTAGATTTGGTAATTGGCAGTTTCACAATCAGTGTTATTTTCCAAATTGAAAAATCCAGATCTGCCAATATCTCTTTAAGGAGTTAACTAGCAGATAAGCTATCCAAAATCTGCATCTTTTTTGTATATACATATATGTGTGTATATGTATATATATATGTGTATATATATGTATATGTATGTATATATATACATATATATATATAATTTTTTTTTGCCCACTGTATCAAATTGGTTTTATTTAGAATTTGGTGAATATAAGGACCTATTTTACAGTGTTTATCTATTGTTTGCTTAAGCCTTTGATTGCTAATTATAAGCAAGGGGTTCAGGTTGTTGAGAGAATTTAGAGTGATTGAGAGCATTTATATTTAGAGTGGCGACATCAGTGGAGATACTTAGGAAAAGCTATTCTCATCTTAAGGGAGTTGGTTTTCTCACATGCCATCTTTATGAGTGTGCACATATTAACAACTATATCTTTTAAACTTACCTTCCTGCTGTTCCGCAGAGAACTCGATCTGTTAGAACGAAATTAACCACAAAGAATATTTTAACCGAACAAAATGTCCTGACTTTTAAGCGTATCCAAACTCATTCCCTGAGTAATCTGTAAAGTAAGCTCCCAGAGTGAGCCTACTTTGCAGAACTCAGGCATAGCTTGGACACTGAGAGGCTGTGCCACGCAGTAACATGCTTTGGAGATATGTGGTATTTCAGAAGCTAAGCAGTATTCTGCCTCCATCTGGAATAGAGAAGCTCAATTCACTTACCAGCAATCTGGTCAGCACTGAAGGACTGCAGTGGTGAGACAGAGGGAGAAAGAAAGAAACAACTAGTACTTTTCCAAATGCATTGACAGAAGAAAGGTTGCTGTCTGCTCTGAGATTTTTAGGAAGCCATGTAGGTGTGATAGAATAAGAAGGTTGCCTTAGGATACTTTTGAATCTAGGAAAAATAAAAAGCTATTGCAAAAAATAGTTAGGGATTATCTCTCTTATCTTAATGAATGAATCGATGATTTAATAAATGTTAAGTCAATTACTCCCTGGAATAATATCATAATATATAGTGTTTGTAAGATATATCTAATACAGATACACCGTATTAAAAAGTACACATACACTGCATTAAAAAGATCATATTAAGTCTTTCTTCTGTTTAACCTCCACATTTTTACCCAATGCATCAGAAAGTAGTTTATTTAATTTTAGATATTGACATCATTGGATTGTTGAAGGTATAATATTATTCTATAGTTGCAGGGTTATTTTATCCCCCTAATTTTAGATATAATAAACCTTATGTGATATACCAGAAGTTGGAGAAGCATAAAGTACTACTGTTGGGAGTAAGTTGTATTTTTCCAGTTGGCATAATAGTTCAAATTAATCTCGTCTATCTTCAATCCATCTCAGCAAAAACCAAAAGTAGGTTCTAAAGACTCGTACTGAATATGATCTCTCCTCAGTTCTCCTTTTTGTCTGCCTTTCTTCTCAATAAGATTAAATCCAGTACCTATTTCCTCCTATAAATGACAAATTGTTTTCTCATAGGACCCACCATGATAGAGCTGCTGGGCTGCAAAACAGCGGCGAAGCTGAAGAGTGAGTTGAGGGCTGCTTCAATCCCTGAGTGAGGGCCTCCCTTGTTGAGGTTGCCTTTTATTTCCGGGGGAAGCTGTGATCTCACAGCTAGCATCGGGTTTCAGAGAGAAGTGGCCACGCCCCTGGGAGAGTTTTTTAGCTTTCTTAGGGCAAAGGGAAAGAGGGATCTGTACCCTGAGGGCTATTTTTAGGAAACCAGGAACTAGCTGTGGACATACATAGTGAGACTGAAGCCCATGAGTACTTTTATGGTCTTTATCCCTGAGATGTTCTCTTGGAATGTTTTCCTTTAAGAAGCTTCTCAATTGTTCAGTGGCAGAGGAGTTTAAAATTTCTCTAAGTGTTTGGGTGGTCCCTTTCTCTCGGTAACTGTCGGACTTTGCAAACTTCAAGCCTGCAAATTTTGGTATTAATGAAAGGTATTGGATAGGACTGGTTTGGGGTTTCAAGTGGCAACTGCTATAGAAAGAACATCCTTGGAAGCGCTGTCTCTTGTGGTGAGATTCATAGGGCTTCAACCGCCACGAATGTTCTGTGTGTTTCTTAGGCTTCACCCAAGTGATATAACCTGGTCAGTTCTTGAAATACCCAATTAAATGCCCAAATTGTATTCTCAGAAGTACAGGGCTTAACTAAGCCAGGAATAGTTTTGATCTCTGTTTTATACCATTCCCCCTTAGTTTCCTTACCTGAGGGGGTCGGTATTTTCCTACTTCCCTGTTATCTTTATGGTAGCTGACCTGTCAGGTTTTTTTGATTTTCTGAAGTACTTCTAGGCAGGAAAGCTGATAGACCATTTAAAAAAATATATTTACTTATTATTATTTTTTTATTTGTCAGCTTTATTCTTGGTTCTTTTTCAAAATTAAATTTATTGGGGTGACATTGGTTAATAACATGTGAGTTTCAAGTGTACAATTCTATAGGACACCACCTGTATATTGCATTGTGTGCTCACCACTCAACGTCTAGTCTCCTTCAGTCAGCATATGCCAGGGGTGCCAAAAAAAAATGTATACAAGTGGACACTTTGGTCAATGTTGCTCAAGCAGTAGTTCGCCATCATCAGGAGTGTCTGGACGCTGATGGTAACCACTTTGAGCACCTCTTGTAATTGCAGAAGTCAAATGTGACTAGTATTCATCTTTTGTTATCGATATATATTGAGCATTACAATTTTTAATAGTTTTTTCCTTTCTTAAAATGTGTATACATTTTTTGGCACCCTCTGTATTTGACCTCCTTTAGCCTTCTTCCTTCTCCCCCACCGCCCTTCCCCTTTGGTAACCATACTTTATCTGTTGCTAGACCATTTTTGCATTTGTTTTCTTTCCTATTTGAAATTTGAACATTTTGTCTAAGTTCTTACTAGAATGTGCTGAATCTGTTTCTGTCCTGTCAAACATTTTATGGCTCAGACTCCTGACTGAGAAACAAAGGAACCCAAAACAGGGGATGTAGAATGCAAAGCTGTACTTTAAAATTTTAAATGTGTCTCAAGGATTGGCTGGTAATGGGTTCTCACGGCAGCTTATCTGAAAACAGAGGGCACGCCTTTCCTAGAATGCTACTGAGCAAAATGGAAGGGGGAAAAGATTGGTCCTAGTATGTCCACTAAAGTTCAGACAACATGTTTATCAGTTTCCTATATATTTAAAGCAATTTACAGGCATACAAAATGTTGGAAATAAATCCTAACTTAAGTACTGTTTTAGCAACTATTTTTAAGTGAATGGTCACAAAAAGCATGAAGTCTTCCCCTGCTAGGCAGATGTATACTTTGCAGCTTTCACTCAAGCATTTAGGAAGAAATCAGCAATTAAATGCATGTCACTTTTGTCCAAAGACTACAAATAGTGAAAAACATCTCACAGAGTCTTGAGTTCCAAAACAAGGATTGAAAATGTAATTTTAAAAATATTAGTACTCAGGTAAATGTATCTTCATAGAAAGATTGACATTTTGAGAGGCTATTGGGAAATGGAAGTTAATAGAAAAATTTTTAATGCTTTGAATCTTTAGAGGGAAGTGTAAGGGAAGGATGAAAAGGTGGAAATTTATAACTTTTGATAATTATGTAATTTGGAGTCTCATGATTTTTGATGCAAAAATTAAAGCCTTTAGAGCAGACCATGTTTCTTTGTGTTCTTTTTAGTCTTGAAATTATATGTATTGTGTCATTAAATTTGAATCTCCTATGATAAATATTGAGAACTAGCATATATATTTAGTAAAGCTAATAACTATAAATAATACAAAATAAACTAATCAAATTTGTCCTACATAATGCTAATTTTTTGGGGGGTGGGAGGGTAGAGAAATGTGTCCTTGAATACATATAAAATATGGTCAATTTGTATAAAATATGTTGAGTAACTGGAATGTCACTTTAGAAGTTGTATTTATGTTATGAATAAGCTATTCATAACCACTTGGATGTTATGTAAAGGTTTATTATTATTAAAATAGAAGTAGTAGGCAGTTGCCAGTCTATTTCACTCTAGGTTTTCTCTATATCTTTATCACTTTTTTCTCTATATCTTTATAGAGAATGAGAGTTTAGATATTTTTGATTCGATTGAGAATAAAAGTAAACATTTAAGCAAGTTATTGACAAGAGTAGAGAAGGCTGCAGTATAGCCTAGTCTAGAGAATAAACTATAGTTTAAAGGTTAAAAAACCTACGTGCCATGCTCATAGAGTAAATGGGAAATGTATTCTCTGGTACACTTTTACAAACGACAAAAACTTTCTCTGGCATCTCTTCCTTGGTGAAGTAATCAGCCCTTTGAACAAAGGCATGATATAAATATTAAAGTCAGATGATTTTGAACTCATTTTGCTATGTCATCATCGGGTTTGTTTAAAACTTTGATTTAAGTCTTTTCTATGTGGCGTGCTCTTCTCTCATCTCCATTTCTTAGACATTAACTATTCTTCAAAGCCCTGATGAAATCTCCTCCTCTTGTAAAGAACCTTTTCTCTATTTACTTAGCTCCCTCCTCCCACTAAAAGATGTTTAACCTTCCTGATTGTAAACTTCTGGGAAGCACAGGTCATTAAGAAAGCCATTTACCTTTGTCCAGGATATAAACCCAGGTGCAGGCTTAGCCCAACTTTTCCCTCTTGGAGTGCTTCCCTTGCCTTATTCTTCGATTTTATCCCCCATAATTATAAAATACCTCACCTATGTTAATGCTCGAAAGATTTTCATTAAGTCAAAATTATTAGAATGTTCAAATACATGGTGATGAAAGGAGAAACGACTCTGGGTGGTGAGCACACAATGCAAAATATAGATGATGTATTATAGAAATGTACACTTGAAACCTATATAATTTTATTAACCAATGCCATGGCAATAAATTTAACTAAAACAGATTTCTAATTTTAAAAAATCATTAGAACTTAGGTATAGTGAGTTTTTCTTTCAAACATAAGTTCCTCTTCTAGAATATTTTATTACCTGAGAATAGAGACTCTGTCAATCCCTTCAAAGAGCTTACCTTCTAGAAGAGGTGTGCACATTCTTTTCAGATACTGCATCTCCAGCACCTAGAACTGCCAAGCACATAGTAGGCATTCTCATCTTGAATTATTGCTGTATGTGCCTTTATATTTCCTGAGACTTTCCATAGATTTTGTTTAAATGTTTATGATCAGAATTTGTAATTCACCAACTCTCAATTTGTTTTTTTAAAGTTTTTAAAGTTTTTCTTCCCATCTTTGCTTGCATACTTCCAAACATTTACTGGTAGTAAAATAACTACATTCCACATTTTTATGACTCATGTACTGTTTGCTACTGGATTTAACTAAGTCGTGGTGAACGAGGTACTGTTACTAAAAAGGATTTTTGTTGCAATGTTTCAGATCTTTTCTCACTTTGAGAAGCACTTTTCTAATAGTAAGCA